TTGAAATTCAGCACAGTACAAAACTTGTACTTCTGATTTTTGGTATTTCAGTGTAGATAGCGCCAAATTTCAAAATAAGCTATTTCAAAATTACCTTGAAATTACATCAAAATAAACTATGCAATATGCATAGCACAAATTGCGTAGCTTATTTCGAGATAAGGGTGCAATGTAGATGTACCCTAAATCTTCTTTGGGTTTTCAAAATAATAAATGGTCAAGTTCTCTGTAAGAACTTATGAATTTTCTGATGTAGAGTTGAATGAAAATTTTGTCTTCACTTTTGACTCATATGGGTTCCTAATTTCTGATTCCCAGATTGCAATCTCTTAATCATTTGAGTAGTTCCACTGACTTCAGTAGAAGTACACATATAATTTGGTTCACTTTGAGCTTTGGATTAAAACTAAATAAAATTCTGTAACTGAAATTCAACTGAAATTGTGGGTATGTCTAGACTACATGCCTCTGGCGACAGAGGCATGTAGATTAGACTACCTGGCATAGGAAAATGAAGCGGCGATTTAAATAATTGCTGCTTCATTTAAATGTAAGTGGCTGACGCGCTGAGCCGATCAGCTGTTTGTCGGCTCAGCGCGGTAGTTTGGATGCTCCGTGGTTGACATCAGAGGCATTTGTCCTGGATGAGGCATACCTGGGTGGTCGACAAATGCCTCTGATGTCAACCGCGGAGCATCCAGACTACCGCACTGAGCTGACAAACAGCTGATAGGCTCAGCGCAGCAGCCATTTAAATTTAAATGAAGCAGCGATTATTTAAATCGCCGCTTCATTTTCCTATGCCGGGTAGTCTAATCTACATGCCTCTGTCGCCAGAGGCATGTAGTCTAGACATACCCTGTGTTTGGTTGGTTTCATATTGAAACCACATAGAATGTAATTTTCATTGTCACAATGGAAAACCATAAATCAGTTGTATTGGAACAGTTTTTAATGTTGGGGTACTGTGCTGCATTCCCCCTTACCACTAGGGGTGGCTGTGGCCAGGACCTTAGGGACAGCAGATGCTGCCAGGATCCCAGGTGGTAATAGCGAAGCCAGTGGCCAGGACCCTGAGACAGGTCCGATACCCCCCAAACCCCACTTCTTGCATAAAGTAGGCCTAGTTTGCTTCAGGCTTAAGAGACAAGGAACCCGAGTGACTATTGATAAGTTTTGATTTGTGTTTCAAATTTGTAATGAAACCTCAGTGAACTTTTGAGCTTTGTATGCCTTCAGGGTCCATTGCAAAAATCTATGCTGTTGTAATAAGGATTAATGGCAACAGAATGCTTAGCCAAGGTGTGATTTTGATGGGGCTAGAAGCAGGAGAGAGATCTTCTGGGGCTGATTGGGGTAAAAGTTTTCTGAGACACACTGAGGCAGTGTTCACATGTTCTCTATTTTTCTCTCCCTCCCCTCCTCTCGATTTGTATTCAACATACAGGGGCTTCTGTATCTGTCTTCCCCATTTCTTATGTTTGGAGCAGGAGGAAAGGAAGAGAGGATCACTTGGTGCCGTGAGGGCAGGGGACTGGACTTGATGATCTCTTGTGGTCCCTTCCAGTTCTAGTGTTCTATGATTCTGGAACCTGAACCCCAGGGTCTGTCCTGCCTACTGCTCCTGGGGCTGGCTGGTTGGTTCCCATTTGGAGGTGGTGGCACATGAAGGGGTTGATACAGTTTTTGCTCTGTGTGTGTGCCTTTTTACACCTTCCAGCAGGTTTGGTTTTGGAATTTGAGTTACAATTATTGCAACTTTGGGAGGTTCCACTGCGGCTGGGCATTAAGAAGTGTCTGGTAGTGGCTATATAGCCAAGTGAGCATTGGTCCTGGACACAACACCACATTGTAAAAGGGTGTTTCTGTGCCTCACACATATCCTGGTTCCCCTCATCTTGGCTCTTGTATGTCTGATATAGAGAAAGTGTGTGCGTCAGGAGGGGGAGGGGTCTGGGGTTCTGGTTTCTAGTCAGGGTCTTTTGGCAGGCCTGAGGTATAGAAGAGGCATGGCCTTCACACCTATGCTCAGCTGCTAGGTAGCATCTCATTGATGCTATTGATGCTACTTGAGATCTGCACTCAAACAATCTTGGTGGGTATCTTGAGGGTAGCTACCCCAAGTTGGGAAAAGTTTAAAATAAAGTTGTAGCTTTTGCATGTCACTATATTATTATGTCTGTATCACATTTCTTCTAGGGCTAGACTAATGTTTAAACAGAGGCCATTATTTTCCAAAGAACAGTGTGAAAAAAGAAACGTAACTGACAATGGGTTTAACTTACGTATTTTGTCACATAATATACCTCATGTGAAAAATGGTTGTATATTTGGGCTCAGATGCTGTATCAGCATAACTTGTGCCCAAGTTGCAGTTTGAGGAAACATGAAACATCTGAATTTTAGTAAACCACAAAAATCAGTATTTGTAATGGCCAAACCAACTCACCCTTCACCATCCCCACCACTACAATATCCCCTATTGGTTATGTAACTGGTAGAAATACACGTAAAGAAGTAATCTATCCTTTCAGCTAATAATATCAAAATGAGATCCTTTTCTCCACTTTACTTGGACCTCTAACCTTTAAAGGTGAGTTAGACAGCTGCAGAAAACCTGATCTCATTTTCTGCCCCTGGCAAGATTTTTTCAAGTTCATCTTCTTTTTTCCCTTCTCTCAAATCTGATGAAAAATGAAATGTCATGAAAACAGGCTCTCAGGCTAAAAAACCTCTGTCTGTCTTTGTGACAGATGTCAGTTTGAAAGGTTTCAGGTCACCTGTCAGAAGTATGTCAGTATGAGCCATACAAACATCTACTCAACCTCTAACACTAACATTGAGTTCTGCTTTTTAAAATACCCCTTCAAAAAAAGAATCAAATGATTTCAAGTCAGTGCCTTTTCCCCTTTCTTTTAACTCTGATTAATGAGTCAAACTCTTAGGGAAAAAAAAAAGCCTTAAAAAAAGGACAGCTTGACCTTTATGTGCCCCTGGCAGTGAACCAATCAGCATTCTCGTAATCCAAACACAGATGCCTGGAGCTAAACAAATCCTGTACTTGTGAACAAGAATTCAGTTTGCTGTCAAAATACAGTGACGAGCAGCACAGTGTTGCTTTTAAACAAAATAGCCCAAATTAAATTAAATGTAAAATGTTTTTGATTAATAAGAGAAGTAATGGAAGTAACATCACTAATAGGATGGCTCAGTAATGATTAATTCCAGATATTAAGAACCATGCTGCATATATTTAAAATACAATATCTCATCTATATACAGGACCTAATTCCCTAATACTTTATGCCACCAGAAACACTGCTTATGTTATGCTGTATCGCAGTATTTTGTAATGATTAATTAATGGGGTTGAATGTTGTCCTGGTGTTGGAATAGTGTCAGAATGTTTACATTATTTCTCACAACTTAGTTCCGCCCCCATAAAAATTGATCTTCTAGAGTGGTGCAAAAATTAAGCACACTATCAAAGAGAAAATCCCAGATCTATGACTCCTTTTTAACACCCTTAGTTAAAAGTCTTGAAATAATCTACTATATGTGTGTGTACACACACACAGATATTTTTCTATCATTCTTTTTCTCTAAAATACCCCCACATAAATGCTACCGGTAATTTTTTTGATAAAAATGGTCACATTTTTGGATGTTTCTTAAAAATTCATACTGATTATAATGTATTCATGCATAATTTGGAAAAGGAAAACTTGGGTACTATATTGAAAGGTCACAGAACTGGACTTTCATTATATTCTAAATGTACTTTGCACTAGTCTTAAATTCAGGATTAAACATGTAGTTTAGTTCATGTACTAATTAGATGAGAAAGTGGAGATGGCACTTTCTTTACATGATTTTTCTCTTCATGTACACAC